CCCTCCTGCCCGCCCTTCTGGCACTCCATCAAACCCCACCCTCCCGACAGGCTGCCAGCCGTGCTTGGAGATGGGCTGTGGGTGCTCGGAGAGCGGCGGGGAGGCTGAGCCTGCCGGGCTGCTGGGGACGTGGTGGCATTCGGGGATGGCACTGGGAGAAGGTCAGTGCGTGCAGAGCAGGCTCAGGCTGTCAGCACTCAGCTCTGCTGAGCCCCTGCCAGGAGGGCAACCAACCAGCTCCTCTGCTCAGGAGCTGTCGGGTGATGCCCAGCGCTGGGAGATTGCAGCCCAGGGAGGAAAACCAGGACACAGGGGCTGCAGGACATGCTGGAGAGCTGGTGTGGTGCAGAGCACACGGGAATTTCCAGTTTCCTGGGAGAAAACTGGAGCTTTGGCCTAATATTTTAAAAGGGGAAACAGGGCGACGTGGGTAATTTCAGGTCTGTCAGGCTGACATTGATCCCAGGGAAAATAGTGGAACAGCTGATAGGGAATGCAATGAATAAAGAATCCTAAAGGGTGATATAATTAATGCCAATCAACAGGGATTTATGGAAAAGAGATCCTGTTAATCCAACCTGACACCTTTCTTCCTGTTGGTTTTTTTCCTCTTTTCCTTTAAAAGCAGGACTGCAAGTTGCTCTGTTGGGGTGGGGAGGTTTGCTGAGGACACGGGAGCAGCAAGGGATCACCCGGACACTGTGTGTTTCCTCATAAAAAAATAGAAAAACCCAAAAAGCATATGGGTGAAGGCCTCATTTAGGAGCTCATGAGTAGGCACAGATTGTCCCTGCAGGGTCTGCAGGGGATTGTCCCCCTGGCTGGTCCCACCAGCAATGGGGAGGATGCTCTGGGCTGTGCCCCAGCAGTGCACTGGGAGCAGAGATGTTCTGCTGGGATGTCACAGGGGGTGCTGGAGGGACACATTGCAGGTGATCTGCACAGTGGGGAGCACTGGGCATCCAATTTGCATGGAAAGGCCTAATAATGCTGGTAGGAAGAGTTCAGAAGAGGCCACTGAGCTGGTCCAAGGGTTGGAGCCCCTCTGCTCTGGAGCCAGGCTGGGAGAGCTGGGGGGGTTCCCCTGGAGAAGAGAAGGCTCCAGGGAGACCTCAGAGCTCCTTGCAGGGCCTAAAGGGGCTCCAGGGGAGCTGGAGAGGGACTGGGGACAAGGGATGGAGAGACAGGACACAGGGAATGGCTTCCCAGTGCCAGAGGGCAGGGATAGATGGGATATTGGGAAGAAATTGTTGGTTGTGAGGGTGGGGAGGCCCTGGCACAGGTTGCCCAGAGAAGCTGTGGCTGCCCCTGGATCCCTGGAAGTGTCTAAGGCCAGGTTGGACGGGGGTTGGAGCCCCCTGGGCTGGTGGAAGGTGTCCCTGCCCATGGCAGGGGGTGGAGTGAGGTTGGGCAGGAAATAAATTCAACCACGTAAAGGGGAAGTTTTGGTCCAAACAGCTCCTGCAGCAGATGGAAAGGGGGATTTCCAGGCCAGTGGCTGGGGGCTGTACCCAGGGAGCCTCACAGGGAGGGAGGGGGCTTGGGACAACAGGTTCAGGACATGAGCTGGACACTGTCCCCACCACTGCACCAGACAGCAGTGACCCTGAGGCAGGACATCAGTCTTAGAAAATATTGGTAAATACATTTACTTTTAGACTGTCTAGGCCCATCTGTGTCCAGGTGGGACTGCACCTTCTCACTCTCTGCGACTCCCTGACAGGAGGGGGGAGCCGGCGGGGAATCAGGCTCTGCTTCCAGGAACAGGGACAGGACAAGAGGTGACAGCCTCAAGTTGTGCCAAGGGAGGTTTAGGCTGGATATTAGGGAAAGTTGCTTCATGGAAAGGATTGTCAAGTCAATGGTGGAGTCACCGTCCCTGAAGGTATTTAAAAGGCATGTGGATGTGGCACTTGGGGACAGGTGTTAGTGGTGAGTTTGGAAGTGCTGGGGAGCATTGGACTCAGTGGTCTTAGAGGGCTTTTCTAACCTCAAAGATTCCATGGTTCTGTGGTTCTATGACCTGACAGCCCAACCATCCCCATGCTCTGGGTGCAAGCTCAGTGTCACCAAACATCACATCCTCTCCTTGGTGAGTCTCCCCAGGTTCCCCAGCTTCTCTGGGGGAACCCTGCCCCCATCTCAGCTCAGGCACACAGGCAGCAGCCCCTCCTTGTAATATTTAAAACAATTTTATTCATGAAAATATGCTGTACAATGCACTATACACAGTTCTTTACATTGCCACATACACAAACTCTAATAGCACAACCAAGAAAGTTACCATTGCCTACGATAGATGTGTGGTGAGAGATGACCTCAGACCCTCCCCCCCAGGCTGTACAGTTATAAATACGAGGGAAAGGACGGACCCAAAACCGCTGTATGAGCAAACCGGGGGCATCCCCCCACACCAGCTCCAGGCAGGGCTGGGCAGGAGCAGGGCTGGGAGCAGAGGGAGCTCCGTGTCCCCAGAGGCTGCGCCGTGGGGCGGGGGCACCACAGGGAGAGGGGTGATGGAGCAGGGAGGGTGAAGCTGAGTGAGGTGGGACATGAGGGGGCCTCGCTGTTTCCAGAGAGACAACCCTTGGCCACCCCACAGTGACACAGAGCCCTGGTGTCCCCACACTGGCACTCACAGAGGGCACGGCCATGCCAGCCGCCCCCAGGACCCCCAGGACCTGCCTGCCCCACGGGCACGAAGCACAACCCCGAACCCCCCGTGCCACCACCACCCCCCCGGGCACCACAGCCCTGCATCCCCCGCTCCCTCGGCTCCCCTGCCCCGGGGTCCCAGCCGCTGTGGGGGCTCTGTGCCTGCCCCCTGCCGTCCCTCGCACCGCACGACGACTGAACACACGACGCTGCAAAACCAACACGACTCCACCGCACACACGACAACCCCACGGTCACGAACCACGACGACAGCTGGGCAATGGGACGTGCCCCGGGGGGGCTCCAGGGGCTCCGGCAGCGGGGCAGGGGGGCAGCGGGGGTGGGGCAGGCGCGGGACAAGGGGAGGGTTTTCTCCTGCTGCCGGTGGGGCTCCCCCTCCACACTGATGGTCGGCCCCTGTCTGTGACACCACGGGGGGCTTGGGGGGTCCCTGTGCCAGAGAATCCCATCTGCAAACGCCTGACTGCTGGCCCGGTGTGCTGGTGTGCTGCTGGACCTGTGCCTGGACACTGGATGCCTGGAAGAGCCAGGACCCCTTCTGTTTCTCCCGTTCTTGGGGGCAAAGCCCCCCTTTTTCCTCCAGGGCAGCCCTCCCTGCCCTCCCTGCCTCTGGGTCCCTCACACCCCACGTGCTGAACTGGGGGGGGCCAGGGATTAATTTGCCATTTGCAACCGGCTTCCAAGGATTTGAAATATGCCTGAAACGAGAGGTGATGTACAAAAGGAATGTGGTAATGATCCTGACCAAAGAATAACCCTTTTTAAAAAAGCATTCAAGAAAGATTATATATAATAGAATATATTAAATTCTGTACATGATCAAATAATGTAAACATAATTAATTAACTTGTAAGAATGTCTTCAGAGACTGTGCCTGCTGTGTGCCCCGGATGGTGGCACATGGGGCTCCTCTGTCACACTTTGCCACAGACCTGTGGGTCAGGAGAGGAGCAGGAGGTGCCCACCCACAGGTCCTCCTACCCTGGCTCTGGGCAGCCACACAGCCCCTGCAGCTGGGACCCAGTGCCTGCACTGTGCCAGGGGAGCTGGTCCTGGGGCGAGAAGGGAAGAGCTGGGCTGGGAAAACGTGCTGGTTCAGCAGACTGACCCTGCTGCAAGGCAGGGGCTGGGGCTTAGAGAGAGCCTGGGATGCCCAGGAGGAAGGATGGCTGAGCAGAGACTCCCCAGAACAGAACAGAGCAGCAGCAGCTCCCACCACATCCTGCCAGCCCCTCCAGAGCACAGACCAGCTGCTGCTGCCCACCAGCCTGCCCCTCCAAACCCCCACTGCACCCAGGGCAGAGCTGCCCCACACCTGTGCAGGATGGCTGTGGCACCCTGGCCCACTCCTGCCCCACTGAGGCAGTGAGGCCAGGCTGGGGTCCTGACACACAGCAGGACCACGTGTGAATCATGGTCCCCACCCCCATGGAGCCCCAGCCCCTGGAAGGTGGGTGCACCCCTCTTACTGACAGCCCCCTGGACCAGCTCTCCTGGCACCTTGGGGATGGGCAGTGAGCCCACTGGAGCCCCACAGCCCTGGCTGTGGGCCCTATGACACCTCCCTGAGCAATGTTTGGGGCAGGAAGGACCCCACCCTGCTCCTGGAGGCCTGGCCACCACAACCCTCCCCTTCTCGAGGGTGACCCCCATCACAGCTTTCACCCCATCAAGCAGCACCCAAAGCCATGGCCAAGCCAAGATGAGCCCTGTGATGGGACACAGCCACCAGCACCGCCCACGGCCTCTGTCTCCTCTCCTTAAGCTCGACCCTTTCTTCCTTCCAATGCAAAAAACTCAATGGCAAAAGAGTGCATGAAATCAAATAAATACGCCCCCCTCCCCGACCCTGCGAGCTGCCCCTGAGCCTGCAGCACAGGGGACCCCTTCCAGCAGCACCTCCCTCCCAGCAGGACCGCCCTGGGCCCTGCCCACGCCTGCTCCGGGCAGGGACTGCAGCATTCACCCCTGGCACCCCCAGCCACCAGCGGGCGTGGGGGCTGCCCAGATGCTGTTCCCAGAGCTGCTGCCTGCACACCCTCCCCTCCATCACCACCCCCCTCTCATTGCTCGCTAAGAGAACCCGCCTGGGGCCACACAGGGACACGCCCCGTGGAGGTGTCCTGGGTGTGTGGGCTTGGCAGAGCTCTGATCTCAACCAGGACTGAGGGGTGATGAGACCCCCCCACCCTGGGGCAGGGTCCCCACTCCTGACACTTCTACCCAGAGGACTCATTTCCCAAGGTGGCTCAGAGAACAGTCCCTTCCCATGGGAAATGACCACACCACCAGCCGTTACCACTCCACACCAGCCCGAGGGCAAATCAAACTGGCACCATTGCAATTGGACACTGGGACCGTCTGGAAAGGCCTTCCCTTCCTGCTACCCCCCTGGATCCGTCTGGCTCCAGCTGCCTCTCCCACCCTGCTGCCCCGTGTCCTCTGGAGGATGCCCACGGGAGGACCCAGCAGACCGGGCACACGTGGGGCTGGGGGCCCTCCCCCTCCATCTCAGGGTTTGACCCTCCGGTTTGTGTTCCGTGTTCGACCTCAAGCTCAGACCGACGGCTCTCGCCCATCTTAACAAACAAAGGCAGAAGAGAAAGGAAAAAAAATATGTTAGTCTCAATGTTCCCCTCGTGGCTTCCCGGTGGTCAGCCCCCCCCGGGACGGGCATCACCCAGGCACCCAGCTCTGGTTCGTGGGCTGTGGCCCCCCGGGCAGCGCGGGCACGTTGAGCCCGTTCTGCGGCGGGAGGGCCGAGTCGAAGTTGAAGTCCATCTCGTCGCTGTCCATAAAGTCATTCAGGATGATCGACTCCACGTCGCACTCCAGGCTCCCGTTGAACATGTCCAGGTCCAGGTCTGCTGGGAACCTGTCTTGGCCCAACACGGGGGGGTGGACAGCCCCCGGGTAGGGGCCCTGCAGCGAATCCAGCAAGCTCATGTGTGCCCCTTGGTTATTAGCGTAGGAATGCAGGTGCCCGTGGTGCGGCACGGCTGCCATGCTGCACGAGTCACTGGGCAGGCTCATAAGGCTGACAGGATTGGCTAAGGCACTGGTGTTGACCGCGGGTTGGTGACCGGCTGGTGACGGGTGGTACAACGCGCCGCTCTTCATGAGAGGGCCCGGGTGGGACGGGTAGGAGGCCAGGCCCTGCTCCCCGCCCCCGCACAGCAGCGGGTTGTGTCTGTGGCCACGGGCCGGCACCATGGGGCTGGCCTGCGGCAGGGGCAGGTCCCCGGGGACCATGCTCTCCTTGTGCGCGTAGGAGATGGAGGAGAGCAGGTCCTGCAGCGAGGCGTTCCTGTAGGAGCTGACGGGAGAGAAGGTGGCCTGCTTGTTCTCCTGGATGGTCTGCATGGGCAGGCGGCGCATGAGGCCCATGGCGGGCTGGCTGTAGATGGTCCCGCAGTAGGTGTTGCTGGCAGCCCCCATGCTGGAGCACTTGGAGTTGAAGGTGAAGCTGGAGCTGCGCTGCCGCAGGGCGGCCGGCGGGAGCTGCTGGCTCGGGCTCATGGCGTAGCCGTCCTGCAGGTCCTCCAGCATGCTCTCCCCCAGGCTCTCGTTCAGGCTGATGGTGCCGGTCAGGTCGGTCAGCCGGGGCAGCTCCACGGAGCAGCGGGCGCTGAGGGAAGGAGACATGGTGCTGGAGGGGCTGGGGTACATCAGCGGCGAGGAGGGGGTGCCGTCGTCCTCCTCCAGCTCGTCGGGCTCGTGGTTGGCCATGATGGGCGAGAGGCGCCCGCTCAGCGTGCTGGCCGTGGAGCTGGCGCGCGTCCGGAACTCCGCCCAGGCGTCGTACTCGTCGCTGGCGTGGGACGCGGGGCTCTCCGACCACTTGGCCTGCTGGGAGGAGGGGCTGTCCTCCCCACGCTCCTGCGTCACCTGCAGCTGCTTCTTCTTGCTGGCCTTGCCCTTGATCCGCAGGAACTTGCTGTTGTTGTCCATGGACACCGCCCGCCGCCGCGGCGTCTTGCCCGTCTTGCCGCCCTCGGGGTTCAGCATCCACCAGGAGCTCTTGCCGGTGCCCTCGTTCTGCACGCGGATGAAGCGGGTGTGCAGGGACAGGTTGTGCCGGATGGAGTTCTGCGGGGACAGCAAGGACAGGGGGATGGTCAGCAGCAGCTCCAGCACCCCGCAAGGAAGGGACGCCCAGAGGGCTGGGGGGCACACCAGAATGGAACTGGATGAGCTTTGAGGTCCCTTCCAACCCAGACCGTTCTGGGATCCTGACATCTGCCTCTCCCTGCTGATGTACATCTCCTGGGATGCCACCCCAACTTCCTGTGCCTCAGTTTCCCCAGGGCCAGAGGACAAAGGCAAGATGCAGAGCCCAGGGGAGAGCATCAGTGTAGAGACCCTTCCACCAGCACTGCCCGTGGCTCAGGGCTGGGCAGGGGCTGCTGGAGCGGGGAAGCAGCTCCCTGATCCTGCTCAGCTGCAGGAGGGACAGAGGGACAGGGAAGGGGAGGAACCCACCGTGCTGGGGAGAAAGTTTGGTGCTGTTGTGGTGTACAGTGGAATACTAATGAAGAGGAGAGTGAGCTCCAGCCTCATCTATCATATTATGTAATGGCTTACTTCTCTGCACTTCATTTATTTGGAGATTGCTCCCAGGCTGGCTCCTCGCCAGCAGCCACCAAATCCAAGTCTACAGAAATCAATCTCGCGCTGACTGATTAAGCCGTGTTTAGAACTAATTGCTCCTTCGTGTGTGGGGAGAATAAATTACGGGCTTTAATTTCACATCTTTAAAATGCAACTGCAGGTATGGGCCAGCTGTTAACCCCTTCCTGCATGGCTGGGGAGGGGCTTGGGGGGTGGTTGGGACACTGAACTGCCCAAAGGACCCTCATCACCTTCAAGCAGAGCGAGCCAAGCCCAGGCCAGCCTGCCTGGCAGGGAGAGTGCCCCTGACCCCTCCAGCACCTCTCCCTGAGCCACAGGCTGCCCAGGTTCTCCTGCACGCGACCAGGCTGTCGTGCAAGCAGCAGGGACAGAGGCAGAGCACGTGGCTGTCACTGCCTTGGCAGGGCCAGGGCCACCAGCCAGCTCAGCCCTACAGCGCTGCCCTGCACCCACAGGCACTGGGGGGCTGCTGGGCTTGCTGGGGTGAAGCTGCTGGGCCCCTCACCGAAGGGGGAACTCCCAGGATTGCCGCAGTCCCTCCCTGCCAGCGCTCCCAGAGTCTGCTCAGCCAGGCAGGAGGAGCTGCTGCAGCCCTGTGTGGCTGGGATGGAGCTGCTATGCAGAGCACAGGCAGAGGGGCTGGGGTCTGCAGGGTTTAGGGATGCCACAGCTGGATGGGGGTGACATCCATCAACCTCTGCTACTGCCTCCAGTGCAGGGCTCTCAGGTATCCCACACCCACCCTTGATCCCGGGCTGGTGACAGGGCTACAGGGCTGGCAGGGTCAGACTGCCAAGGGAGAGGAGGGAAGGGGAGACTGCTGTTTCTCCTGCAGCCGAGCTTCATTAGGAGCCAGCAGACAGCAGCAATTAAGTGCAAGGTGCAGCGGGCCCGGCTCTCTCCTCATTAGCACCCCGACATGCTCGGCTGGCCGCGGCTCGGGGCGCACGGAGCGGGGCCCGAGGCTGCACCGGGGCGGGCCGGGAGCTGATTAAAGCGGGCAGGAAGGGACCGGCCTCACCGCCCATCACCCCGGCAGCCCCCGGCTCCCACAGCCCCAGCCTGGGCCGGCAGGGGATGCCCGGGACACGAGGGCTGGCAAAATCCCCCAAGAGCAGCTGCCTTGGCAGGGCTTGTACCGGAGGCAGGCAGAGCACAGGGGGTGCAGGAAAGGCTGGTGCCAGCCCCAGGGTCCCCACGACGCCTCTGACACTGCTCTGCCCCTCTCTGCCCTGCACCACCTCTCAGCAGCCTGCACTGCCGGCCGTGCCCTGCACCCTCGCTGTGCCCCCCTCCCGTCTCCCGTGCCCCCGTGTCGCCCCTGCCTGTCCCCCCCCGGCTCCGATGGCTCAGCCCCTCTCTGGTGTCCCGGCCCCACAGCCCCAGGTACCCAAATGGCACCGGGCGAGGAGCATCGGTCCCAGAGCACACCCAGACCGTGCCGGGGGTCACACCCACCCCCTCGGGCTCCACCGCTCCCCCCCGGCCTTCTGCCGAGGGCACGGGATGCTCTGGGGAGCGGAGGCGGCACCAGGGGCTGCAGGTGGACCAGAGCCCTGCTCAGCCCAGGCTGGCACCAGGGAGGGCCGAGGCTGAGCCCGTGCCAGCCACAGCCACCAGCTGCCAGAGGCTTTGCCAAGCTGGAAGACCCCGGTGCCATCCCGGTGCCCGTCTGCCGAGGGCTGGTCCTGCTGCGGGGACTGAGGGGGGGCTGTGGGCACCCACAGAGCCCCTCACCCCCCCCAGGAGCCCTCCTCCGGCGAGCCTCATTGTCAGGGGAACAGGCAGTGTGAAATCGGTCTGATTAGCAATTAGTCCCATTGTAAAAGGATTAGCCAGACCCATTGTTTGAGAGAGTGACTTGACTGTCAATGGGCATCTGGCAGCGATGATGATGATGATGATGTTGTGGTGGGAGCCGGGAGCCATTCCCCATGTCCTCTGTCCAGACAGAACCTCCAAAATGAGCATCGACCCCCGAGGCAGGCACCGACCCCCGAGATGGGCATCGCTGCCAGACCCAGAGGGGCATTTACAGGGTCCCAGGCGCTTGCCCATCCTCACCCAGCAGCATGCCCAGGTTACATCTCTAGCCTTGGGGTGCCCACGAGTGCTGGGGTGCAGGGAGGGGGGCTGAACATCCCTCTGCATGCCCCGAGGAGAGCACGGTGGGGAGAAACAAGTGCAATTCGAGTGAGAACAGGCGGGGAGCAAACGAGGGGCCCCGTGGACCCACTCCATCCCTGCCACATCCCCTGCACCCCTCTGATGCCCCCACCACTGTCTCTGGGCTGCCACCACTCCCTCCTGTCCCCACAGCACCAAGGGTTTCCAAGCAAACCCACAAAGCAAGCCGGGCTGCTCCCCACACATCCCACACCTCGCAGCCCTGCTCTCAGAGACCTCCAGGCCAGGGCGTGCTGGGGGCTGCCTGTCTGCCCAGGCTGCTGGGCCACGCCGCTAATGAGCCCCTTCATTACCTGGTGGCGATTCGCACACTGTTGACAGGAGGAAGCAGGGACAGGGACAACAAGACTAACAAGAGCTCTGCCGGCTGCTCTCTGGCAGCACAAGGACGGCTCCACGGGTTAATTGATGCTTATTCACTTCTTGCACATAAAAATTGCCACTGTTGGAGGAAACACTCCGGAGGGCAGAGGCTGCCGACAGCCTCGACGGGGCTCCATCCCTGGGGACGCTGCACAGGGCGGGTGGTGGCACGGGACATTTCATGGTGACATCCCCAAAGACATCCTATTCACCCAAGAAACGGCTCTGCCCGCGGGCACCAGCAGCTAAGAGCAGGATGGCCATCCCCGTGTCCTCCTGGCACCCTCCCCTGGAGGGAGGTGCCACCCCCTCACCATCCCGCCCGGAGCAGCCGGTGGCTGAGCGCAGCCCACCCGCCCTGGCACCACCGCCTCCCGAGCGGGGCCCACGCCCGCCTGGCGAGCAGATGGCAGCTGGCACACGTGGCAGCGCAGCCCACACCCCGGGGGATGCCAGGCACCCCAGATGCTCACGGGTGCCCCGTGATGTGACAGCAGCCGGATCCCTGTGCTGTGCCAAGGGTAGGGAGTGGGCGAGACCTCCATCGCCTCCAGTGGCTGCAGGTGCACCAGCCAACCCCACACCAGCCCCACACTACTCACACCAGCCCATTCCACATCAACCTGGCCCACACCAGCCCTCCACACACGGGTGGGTGAACGCAGTGACTGGAAGCACTCCGAGCCAGCCAGAGCCAGGGCAGCCAGGCGGTTGTAAATCCAGCCCACGGTGTGACAGGGCTCCTGCAGCCTCACACCAGGCTCCCCCGGGGACAGGACCCAGCACACTGTGAATCCCCGCCGGCCTCTCTGCTGTGAGCAGCCCCCGTGGTCTCCCTCTCACCCCATTACCCCAGGGCACACAGTGCCTTGTCTGGAAGGAGCAGCCCCCGGCACAGGGCTCGGGGAGGCACTTTGGAGCAGCTGCCGAGCACGTGGGGTAAGCTCTGCTCCCCGGCTGCAGCCTGAGCCCTGCCCTGCCCCACAGCAGCCCCCGTGCTGCCTCTCCCGCCCCGGGCAGCCCTTCACAGTGCCCTGTGGACAGCCCTTAGCTCCGCCCCACACACGAACCCCGAACCAGGTACCTCTGTGGTGCCCTGCAGCATCCCACAGCAAAACCCCTGCGCTGCTCCATCAGCTGACCATCATAGCCAGCCCCCTGCAATGCCCCGTAAGCCCCCCAGCCCCTCGCTGTCTCAGCATCCCGCTGCCCGCTCACTGCACCCCCAGCCCATGCCATCTCCCACTCGGGAGCTGGGGCTGTCCCCCCTCCCCGGCACGTCCTTCCCCGCGGCTGGAGCTGGGCGAGGGGGTGCACGGGCTGCCCGGTGCCCCCGCAAAGGGCACGGCAGGGGCAGGGGGAGGCACCTCCTCCCCGCCGCGGGGGTCTCGCCGGCGGCTGCGAGCGGAGGCAGCGGATTCGGGTCAGCGCGTCGGCTGAGCCGAGCGGGGCTGACGTGCTGCTAATTGAACCAAATGCCCATTAGAGGCGTGAGGGGCCGTGCCCGCCCCGGCCCCGTCGCAGGTGGCTGACACGCGAGGAGCCCAAGGCGGCGGGGCCGGTGGAGCATCCCCGCCCCGAGCCCCCCCAACCCTGCTCCCAGCCCGGCCGCAGCTCATTAGGAACCGCTAATCACCCCCGGGGCCTCGCCGGGGCAGCTGCGTCTTACGGGGTCCCCGTGCTGCAGCCCCCTCCCCGAACACCCCCCTGGCCCCTCTCTGTGCCACCCCTCGTGTCAGCCCCCCTCCGGGACTGGGCAGGGGTCAGGCCTTGCCCTGCCCCACAGATGTGGGGCAAAAGGAGGGCTCCAGATAAGCCCCACGCTCTGGAGGAGAAGGAATGCAGCTGGGACCCTGCTCTGTGGGGCCAGGCTCTGCCACCCCTGCCCACGTCCTTCTGCCATTCCC